CCAAACCTATTTCTGATTTAAAACTAAAATTTGGTGTGGGTTACGTTGTATAACTTAAACCAAATTTTCAGAAATAGGTTTGGGTTAGGTTATATCTTCCGGAAATTGGCCCCCCCGAAGGGAGGGGGGCGGAACCCACTGCGTTCACGCATACACTTTCCCATCCACACAACAATCGTGGGATGGACTTCGCTTCGCGTTGTAAAATATATGCGTGGACACAGTGGATTCCGCCCCCCCCCCTACGGGGGGGCTCCACTTCCGAAAGATATAACCTAACCCAAACCTATTCCTGATTTAAAACTAAAATTGGGTTAAGCTATATCTTTCGGAAGTGGTGCCCCCCGAAGGGGGTTGACCGCCGATTACGTTATAAGGAAAAGTTACTCAAGATTATGTCCTTGACAACATATGTCAAGGTCAACGTCATTGGAGCTGGGTCCGTTATAGTAAATAATTACCGTTTAGAAAAAAAGCAGTGGACTTGAATAATAAATCTGACGTAGAGGAATTCTAAAAAAAAAAAAAAATGCTTGATTGAATTTTTAATTCAATTCTGCTTCATTTCTAATAGAATAGACGACAGCTTCAATATTTTGCTTTTGTGTCCCTTTGTCTTTTCATTATGCTTAACGTATAGAAATATTACATATGTATTGTACATCTTGAAGCACTTGGCAATATCTGTTAGAACAGACGTGGCTGACTGGGTTTATCTTTATATATTTATAAATGTGTGTATTACCAAAGCGTTATCATTTCAACGTGATCTATACACGTGCTTTTTACTAAAGATAGTAATGCGTACACATGAGAATTTAATAAGGATATTAAAAAGAAAAAGTATGTCCATGTAATAATGTATAACGCGCAATAAAAAAAAAAAAACCTTTCTTATTACGACACGTGGAATTCTAATACAGCCAGTAAAAAAAAGGGTGTGCATGAAGCACGGTGTCGACGTAATTCGATCCGAACGCTCTTATTGGCCGCTTGAGATATTGTTTTTTTGCTAAATATTGTCGCGTTTTCTAGTCTCTCATGTTCTTTTCTTATCGCATACTATATTCGATTGATTCAGGTTTATCGCCGTAAGATCATCGAGCCCCATATTTTGAGAAAAATCAATCCGACTTTATGTTTTTTAGCGGTTAATCGTGGCAGAGCCCGCGCTTTTCAAGAACCACATGCTACTCAGCGTTGCGTCTCGTTAGCTGTTGGTCACGTGATCGCGAAGGACCGACCAATGAGGGCGAAGCCTCAGGGCTCAAAATGTGCCCCTGCCCCCTAACCTCCTCTGCTTAGCTAGTTGGTGCGGTCGGTGCCGCTCGCTGCCGGTTCAGTCTTCAGTCTTCAGTTGTGCAAATTACAGATATCGTCAAAAGAGCTGTGCTATCCGGCCGGATAAAAGGTAAGATCTACTTTATTCTTAATCTTTTTCTTTCTCTCTCTCTGTCACAAATTTATTCGTGCATATTTATCATATAATATGATTCAATATTCCTAAACAAATAAGTACGAGATAACATCATTATGTTGAAACTATAAGTGCATATATTTAATCTTCAGTTGGTCGTATTATTCAATTTAATCAATTTAAATGATGAATTGTAATAAAATGGTAAAAATGCCAAAAAATCTGGGGTTAGCACTTATTGTTAGACCGTGGAAAATTCCTGAAAGGATTCTTTCTTTGTCGGCTCTTAAGCGAACATTCCGGCACAGGCAGGTCATATTATCTCTGAAAGAAAAAACTATACCAATATTTGAAAGAACGTGACTAATTTTTCGAGATTGAAAAAAAATGAGAATTTCGCGCCGTGAGAGATTGGAAGAGATTTCAAGTTTCTAATTTCAATTCTTTACTTTATTGAATTTTCTTGTGATATGAGACGCAATATCGATTTATCGTCTTATTCATATTTCGTCGCATGGCGACACAATTCCGGGGTAAAAAAAAGAAAAAATTCCGGGGAAAAAAAAAAAAAAAAAGGGAAAAAAAGGATAATACACAAAGACGTAGGCGGGCGGACACTTTCGGACTGGAAACCATAAATAGTTTTCGATGGATGCAACATCATCTGGATGCAATAAGTATATTTTTTTTTAATGCACGATTGTTCCTTCATTTTGTAATAAAAGTTCACTTGCTCGTTTTAAAAGTTTGTCCCTATGCAATACGATTTCTCTCGTCGTACGCTGCGAAGAGATTTTTTTCTTGCCGAGTTTTTTTTTTTTTCCCCTCGCGCTACTAGCCTTTATCGCGATTTGTTTACGTATTATATACACGTTCAAACAAGTCTGAACACGCTTCTAATCGTAACACCATTATTATAATGCCAGAATTAAAGATAAATATTCAAAGTCGATATATCCTATAAAAAAATTTTATTGTACTATAGTACGTAATATATATATTTAGAGAGAGAAAGAGAAGCTCATCAATACACCAAATTGGTGTTTAATATATGTATTATATATTGATCTGCAAAAGAGAAAGAATACAATATATTATTAAATATTTCATATTATTGATATATAAATATTATTATGTATACATCTTATATATTTCTATATATTTATATTTAATTTTATATAAAAT